AGTCTCCGTAGATATAACAAACACAGAAATAAATAACACAAAATAAATTGTAGCTATGTGTCGATTCCGCGCGACACATCCGAACATGTAAGCCGAACAATAGTGTGGGGGGAATGAGTAATCCAGAGTTGCGTGGCGCTCAAACAAAAGACGAATCGACAAGATTTGAAAATCGCGTAACTCTGGGTTCGCGTAAGTCGGGGTAGCGTAAGTCGAGGTATTACTGTATTTTAATATATTTTTTAAAAGAAACAAAACCACTGAGAAATGTTACATGCGTTTAACAAGGTTCGGAAAACTTTGAAAATGTTAACAACGGGTTCGGCCGAACCTGTGCGAACCCGCTGAATATCACCACTGAACGTAAGGTCTTCAAACTTCAAACTTAAGCTTTATAAGGTTGATACTTTCAAACACAGTCATTTTTTTTTCAAACAAGTACCGCCATCTATGTCAGGTCGGGTACTTCTGGGACCACCCTCGTATAATAAAATTAAAATAACCTGTTTAAATTATGTTATTACATATATTTAAGTAATAAATAAAAACGATGGATGATTATTTATGTATTTAAAGAATATTAGCAAACCTTTTAAACATTTAAAAAAGGTTTAAATACTATAATAATATAATTTTCTATACAGTAATACCTCGACTTATGCTACCCCGACTTACATGAACCCGGAGTTACACGATTTTCAAATCTCATCGATTTGTCTTTTGTTTGAGCGCCTTGCAACTCTCCATTACTCACTCCCCCACACTATTGTTCGGCTTACATGTTTGGACGTGTCGTGCGGAATCGACACATAGCTACAATTTATTTTGTTTTATTTATTTCTGTGTTTGTTATATCTACGGAGACTTGAGAGACACTATGTGGTGATTTCTTGTAACCGTGAACGAATCAAAAGATGAGATAAGATTAACGTGAACATTTATTAGCTTATATACAACCGACTTGGATTTTACACAAATTGCAAAATTATACCTCGACTTACGCGGTTATCGCTCGGTCCCACCTATTGCGTAAGTTTGGGGTATTACTGTATATCAAAGTTACATTGTATTTTGAAGGCATTTCTGTAATAGAAGTGTGTACAAAGTACAATGTAATTCTATAGTAATATACAAAAAAAAAGTACAGTCTTTAAAAAATATGTATCATTAACAACAAATGAAGGATTAAATAAATCAAATTCTTAATTATTTTGAATAAAATTTTTATCTTAAATACAGGTTGTTGAGTATGATCCATTTTTATTATTTTACTTTGTTTTTATTTTATTTGTTAATTGAAGGAAATAAATCATTGGGTACATTCCAGTATGCATCAGTTTCAGTACAACCAATGCACCAGTGAACAGTCTAATAAGCTTTTACTGAAGATCTGGCAAACAAAATGGCAGAAGCAAACAGTGCTACATTGGCATTTGCAGATTTATTTTGATAAAATAACTTTGGGTTAATATAGATGAGCAGTAAAAATGGTGTTAGTAGTATAATCACAGAGGTGACCATATTATTTCATCAGAGCTTATCCACAGCCCAATGAATGCAATGTATAGTACAATGGTTAACCTTTTTGATATGTAGTTTAAGTTAATTTATTATAATACTTTACTTTCAGTGATAAGTGTACGATTCAGATTTCATCAATGTATAATTTATGTATTTTGATGGCGAGGAGCAATATTTGATTAATACATTAATTAATGTCTAATTACTATTGTATTTTCGATTAGTAAATTTGATCTATGTGTAATCATTTTTCCTTAAAATATTTTGTTAAACATTTATTTATTATCTGTATTCTGACAGGCAAGAACTGTATTTGTTCAAAATATTGATTTTATTTATGTTCTTCTGTATTTTCAGTTAAAATTGTTTTCAAACTACATGTAATCAAACTGTCTTCAATTGTACATACTGTAAATATTGCAATTATTGTCTGTATTTGATGGCCAGGAGCCGTATCTGTATGTTTCATTTGATTCTTAATAAAACAGGCTGGGTGCCCGTGAAACTTTCCCTTTTCATCCCCTTTCCTATCTCGCTTTACTTTTTCCCCTTCGCCTCTTCCCTCAATCACCTTTCCTCTACTCTTCTTCACACTCGGGCAATACCAATGAGTAGTCCCGAGTCTTTATGAAATAAAAATAAAAATGTACAATGGTTGCTGCACCAATGAACTCATCAGTGAATATTGGAACACATTTCAGTATGTCGTGATTTGTCAATGCACCGTTTGATGCTTATTGGAATGTACTCATTGATTAAATCTAACTCGGAAATCATTGATGATAGACCAGCAACAGAAAACATACAATTGATGACTTTGAAAAATGTTAAAAACAATCGCAAATCATTTCCAATGATTGAAATTGATTTTAGCTCAGTAAGTACTCATACATCCTTTCATATTTTTATTTTGTAATTGTTTCAAATGTGTAAAAGCTTAATTATTCCATTATTCAGTATGGAAAATATTGGAAATATGATATAAAGGACAATACAAATCTGGTCTTTAATACAATTCATATTACTGCATATTGAAGACCAGATTCAACTGGTTATTTGTCATTCAAGTTTTAATATTTACAGTTTAGTTTAATTACTAATACTGTATATTATGATAAAAGGAGTTTTTTATATATAAAACTTTTATAATTACTCATTCATAACTGGAATCCATCTTATAAAATTTCCATTATTATGTATTTATATCTTAAATATACTATACTAATGAAGTTAAACTGATGCACTTAAATATTGTAAAAGATTTTTTAAAGATAAATTTTAGTATTTCTCTTATTTAATTTCATAATTTTTATTTATAGTTATGTTTATAAAAATAATACATTTTATATATGTATTACTTTAGTGATTAAATTAAAGATATATAATGTATCAATTTATTATTATTTTATGATGAATTACACATTCAGTGTTGTCAGTTCATTGCCATTCTAGTTATATGCCATATTCTTATTGATTATTTTTATAAATTTCTCTTGATGGATCATCATTAAGACTTGTGCAATATTATGTTAAGACAAAATACATACTAAAATAAATCCATTTTTATTATTAACTTTTTATTTGAAATCATGAAACCTCATTTATTTTTAGTCTTAAAATTATAAAAGTCGCAGACAGTTTTAAGGTTATCAAACTCGATACATTTGATCCTCCGAAGTAACAAGAATTTGACAGATTATAATGCAACAATGAATCAATATTCATCTAAAAAATATCGAAATATTTAAGATTCAGATTAAATTAATGGACTAAGACATGACACTTGTAATCTGATGAACGGATTGACTCTTAGGAAGACTTTCTATAGGAAACTGGCCCCTATTTAGGTGTTAGACACAAGAAGAAAACCCAAAAAACTCCATTGGTGAGGACAAGCCTGTAACCAACTACTGGTGTTCTGTGGTTTTATTCATCTTAAAGATTTAATAAAATATTTATTTATATTATTTTGATATATAAATGCTCTGTTAACCAAGATAAACGTATAAAATATATATTGTTTAAGATTAGGTTATAATTTTTCTAAGGCAAAGTAATCGTATTTTATAAGTTTTCTATATTATACACTAGCACGATAAACATTGGCTAAATCTTACACGCCTGTAAAGGATATCCTTCAATTTTATAATGTTTCAATACTTGTAATATTGAATGAACCAAGTTTATAGATTTTTTTTTAGTAAGCTATTCATCATATTTTTTTGGATGATAACTTTCTAACAGTGCAAAAACTGTTGATCGTCTATCCTGGCAAATGTTACATTTTTTACTAGAGGAAATCCCGAGATTGGAAAAATATAAAAATGTACTAAATGATTAAGTGTTTTACACATGTACGGTAATTTATTTATTTTAAATAAATTCAAATATTTAAAAATATCTCATTTTGGTTTATCTGTAAAGTATTTATTGTTGAAATTTGTATAAAACGTTTTCGTTGATTAAAACAAATCATTTATTTTATAAACTCAAAAAATAAATGATTATTCACGATTAAAATATAATAATTTGTTAAATAGAAATGTTAAATTAATTATCAATTTAATTAAATTTTAGATAGATTCTAATATTATTTATAAATGTAAAGTTCTACTGCACTAAATTCACTGTGTGCAGGTGTCTATTATCTTATATTTTGGATATGATCAAATATTTATAATATATGATTTGCAATTATATTTGTTGGAAATATTTGAAAGCTTTTCATCAGATGGTATAATAATGTTTTTATTTATAAATCTTATATACATACGTAAACATACGTTTTTAAACGAGATAGGTAATAAAAATCATACACACCGATATTTTAAAATGTATGTTTATAGTACTAACATACTTTATAAGTTGTTTTTCAGTCATTTGCGTGTTCGACATTTCATTTATTCGATTTGTTCAAAATACCAGTTCTAAATTATTGTTATTAAAATTACAGGTAAGCCAAGGAGACGACGTCAAAGGAAATTATATCTCTGATTTTCCGAGGCGTCAACACTTTTAAAGATTGTTCCTATTTGATCAAACTGTTACCATCCTTGGAATGCAACAGAATAAGCAATCACTCCTTGTTTTTGAACGACAAGTGTGCCATTTGCATTCTCCTAAGTGCATTTTGACCAACTGCAATTTGTGATAAACTTCTAAATGTGAACAATATTGTTTTTAGTTTTATATATAAAAATTATATATGTATATTGCAAATATGTGCAGCTGTGAATTATATATATAGATTGACAGATATATTTGCTGCTATAAAGTTGTTGTATAAATGGTTATTCTAAAATTAAAATTAAAAGAATTGTTAAAGATTTGAACATTATTGATGAGCATGAAAAATTTTTAAAAAGAATCTGTGAAAAATCTGTACAGTTTAATAAAAAAAAAAACCTTTTTTTTTTCTTTTTTTTTCTTATAATTTATTTAATTTTGTGTTTATTATTTTTATTGGCAAACTCTTTAAACTCGCACATATATTTTTTAAATATTTATATAACAAAATTAAGTAAAAATTTAACATTTAACAGATGCTTTCGACGTTACCGGCGTAGATAGCATTTATTAATCTCACTGATAGAGCATGACTGCTAATATTGATTAGATAACAATATTAAGCGCGTAAACAGTCAACGTTTTATTTATTTATACTAAACCATAAGAATTAGTTTAGCGAACTCGTCTAAAAATATATTTAAAAGTAGGTTGTCGACCCAAATATGCAATGAAAAAAACTACCAAGAATGCACATTCTCAACAAAATGGTGAGAGTGGGGAGAAGGATAAAAGGCATTTGGAAACATTTTCTAGGCTACAACTAGCTAGGAAGGATGGGTGTGTTAAATATCTCTAAAAACGAGAAGTCAACACGCGTTAAGCGCATTTTTATCAACACACGGCAGAGGAAGAGTGAAAATGTGCTGTGTTACGTCTGAAGGCCAAGGTTGTTACAACAATAGCATTGGTGGATTTAGTGTAGAAGCAGCGTAGTCGGTGCTGTCTGGTATTGATCCCTACTGTTCAGTTCTTATCGTCCTTTGTTCCGTTCGGGAGGGAAGTTAGTAGCTTCAAGTTCGTCAACCGCGTTCGGAAATTTTAATACATTTGCCAAAATGGGGTGAGTATTTATTTTCTTCGCCATAATCCGAGTTATAAGACTACTATAAAGAAAAAAAAAACGTATATTAAGTAACGTTTAAAACCCGTAGTGATTGAAATAACTCTTGTCTGAAAAAAGATAAATATATGCCCGAGTGGAAATAATACGGATGAAATGCCAATTTTGCATAATATGTTAATTTTTAACAAGTTTGTTGGCTCAATTTTAATATTAGAACGCGTGTGGTTTGGATGGATCGAAGTCAGACGTGTGGTAAAGCCGATATGTAGGGTGACGCCCTTTTTACTAGCTACCGATTTTGTTGGTTAATTTATTACCGAAAAACAAATATAAATGTGATTTTCTGTAATCGAAATATTTACAACGTTATATGCAAATGTGGGTTTTTAGCTTAAATTAATTAATTAAATATGAAAACCATATTAGGTTTCTAGTTAGAACGTAACAAAATATCAATGTAGAACAAATAAACGCCTACGGGTTTATACGCGTTGTGTTGCAAGAGATTAAAAAAATGATTGCATAATATAATTTTTGCTTTTTAAATGCTTTATACGCATAAATATTAATGGATTTTTCGCAACACGTTTACGTGATTTCACATTTTCATTTACATCTCAGTCGATTTAGTCCATAGTTACGCCTATGGATTTGCACCGTAATTGATCATAACTTAGCTCAATGTTCTGTTTTATATGAATGACTGAATATATATATATATACATAGTGCTTAATTGAGTAGTAGTAACATAATTTTTTTCTCTTAATATTTATAAGAAAAATGTTTTAAATTGATTTTTTATTACCCTGTGTTATAGTTTTCATAAAAGAAATTAGATAATTAAAATTCTTAAGCGACGTAACAATGGATATTCGTAGTTTTCTACATAACACAAATTACCAGACATTTTTAAAATATTGTCATACTTTCTTCTTTCTTTCTGTTTTTATAACACACGAATAATTCGTAGGAAAATTTTCAATTGTAAAACTTGTAATGTTGATGCGTGCTTCTTGTCCTTAATTACTTATATTTAGAACATCCAAAGTGGACAAACGTATAATAATAATGCAATGTTGATAGTCAACCATTAGAAACACACGTTAATATACGTATTAACAACACTACGGAGCAGATTTAATGCTATTTTTATTTATATATAGCAAACGTAGAGTTGCATACTTCTCAGCTAACTTTTAAAAGCTAGAGAAGGATGGATATTTTTACATATTTCCGACATTTGTAACATTAAAGAAACCAGTTTATAGACATTTCAGTAAGCTATCCATCAAATTTTTAAAAAAAAATGATAACCTTTAACGGTGCAAAAACCTTACCGATAGATGCGTATCACTTACTCGGAAGACCATTGCAATTTTTTTTATTATTACTTAGATATAATTCGAGGTGGTGAAACTATCAAAACTTACCAAATGACCAGGGTATTTTAGATAGGTTTGAAATATTTAAAGTACGCCATAAATTTCTTTCGCCATTCGATTATACGTAACAGTTCTGTGATGTGGAAACAATGCTTGTAATTTCCGTTATGGCACAGGAATTTTAGACGATGTGTTGCAAGTAATAGAGTAGACTACAGATTTATCGATAACAGATTTTCTTGTGTTGTTGTTTCTTGTGGTTTTCAAGTTTTATTATCCAAGTATGCGGCGTTAAATCTGTCAACAGAAAAACTATATAAAAAAGAAATGTTGACGAGCGATAAAATATCGACACTCGATGGAATGGGCTATAAATAAAAAAAAAAAAAAAACGTTAAATCGAGAGAAATTCCTATAATAATTGTACGTGATTAGTTTAAATATACAATTGTGGCTTTACACATACCAGTCGACCCCCCTATAACACCTTAGATTTCACAAATACGTGTGCCGGGCTGTGAACGGCTCACGTATTTGTAAAATCTAAGTGACTCGTACAACACGGAATTCATATAAAACGGAATAATCAACAGTGTTATAGGGGGGTCGACTGTATTCAACAAACAAGCGGGCTTTAAATCGTGATTGTGTGTTTAAAATCACTTTTCTCTTTATATTATACTGAAATATTATTTTTTATCAAACTAATGCGATCAGGAAATACTATCACAATTTCCTTCCTAACTGTAAATTTACATAAACCGCGTTATCGCTTTCGCTTCGCTTGACAAATGGAGGAACGAGAAACTCAGTCTCCCGACGCCATATGCATCACGGTAATATCATCATACAAATTTGGCAATTCTTGCAACACAGTATACTTATATCATTGACTGAATTTAATATAGACAAGTGGTATAATACCATAAACGTATTTTATATTCAGAACTTTATATAATATAGGCTACAAAACATCGGACCTTAAAAGGATAAAAGTGAAATTAATCCTCTTATGTTATTAAAAATGAATTTGTTTTTTTTTTATATTACGAAATATTTTCATTGTTTGAAAGATCTGTTTTAATATAATTTATACACAATAAGGATAAAGGATGTAATGAGTGATGAAAGTAAGTCGTTGATGTGTAATTCATATACTTTATTATGTACTGTACTGTACAGTATAGACAACTTGCAACGAATAAATACATAAATATATTTAAATATTTTATGTAAAAATATTTAAATTTATATTGTTTATGCGTTTAAAATTATATGTAAGAATTGATAATAACGTCACAATGAATACAAAATGTTAGAATTAATTAGTATCGTTTAGGAATTAGAAAGGTTGCGGCCGAAGTTTTCATCTGTAAAACGTGAACGTCGAACGTCGAGCGCCGCTTACAAGATAGCGGCGCTCGACGTTCGACGTTGACGTTTGAGAGATGAAAACTTCGGCCGCAAACTCTCTATTATCAATGAATCCATCGTTCATAGAAGTTATTATTATTATTATTTGCAAGAAATCGGGGGAAAAAAGGTTAGAATCATCATCACTCATAGGAATTACAGTGAAGTCTACGTACAGGAGCTTTGCGAAAGGAGAAAATTACTAGAAGAATTCGTCCGAATTAACGTCTCTTAGAGAAATACAAAGTACGGGAATTAAACACAGAAAATATATGGATTAAACAGTATCACTTGTAAGGTTTCGTTAACGTGCTACGGTGGCTAATTAGGCAGAACATTTAAGCATAGCGTATAAAATTTAAAACATTTCTAGAAATTGTTTCGTGATAAACTGTATTCGGAAAACGCCATTTGTTTCAGATAGTTTCTAAATTTGTAATTATCTCTAAATAATTCGATGTAACTCGGATGTAATAAACAATAAAAACCAACATTAAAGTCTCGCCATTTTCATTAAAAACTAAGGTTTTTAGCATACTAAAATAGACCAAAATGCCGCCTTTACGCATCAGCGGTACATTATTGCAAATAAAGCACTTAAGAGCGCATATACAATTTGAAGATTTCTATATTTATTTTGTAATAGATTAAACGCCGTTTTAATATAAACATCCTCCGATTTGATAACCAGTGTTCTAATTTGTTTAGTAAACTCCTATCCTCTTAAGAGTTTATATAGTTACAAAATTTCAGATAACTATCTGAGATATTTAAAGAATGTATATATTAATCAATTTAGTAGTCGAACACCGTATTTTAAATTAATTTTTCATCCCTTATTTTGCCAGAAAGTTAACATTTATAATTAATCGTAGGTACGCTTCGCAACAAGACGAATGCACTTGAATTTTTAATAGGATTATATCAACAAAAAAAAAAAAAGGGGGGGAGAAGAATAATGG